CACTGATTTAAGTCCTGGCTGGGTCAGTTGGCATTAATGTGTGGAGTTTTCATGTTCTCCTCATGTTCATGTGGGTTTCCTCCGGGTGCTCCGGTTTCCCCCACAGTCCAAAGACATGTGCTATTTAATAAACTAAATTGGCTGTAGTGTATGAGTGTAAATGAGTGTGTATGAATGTTCCCCAATACTGGGTTGCAGCTGGAAGGGTATCCGCTGTGTAAAACATACTGTATGCAGGATAAGTTGGCGGTTTATTCTGCTGTGGCAACACCTGATGAATAAAGGGACTAAACCTAAAAGGACAATAAATGAATGAAAAAATGAATGAATGAATGAATGAATAAATAAATGAATGATAGCACCTGCAAAGACTTTTAACTTTTTTTATTTACAGAAGTCATAGGTAAAATATTATGTTTGTACTTGTTTAAAATACAGTATCTGTTAATCCTCTCACACCAGCACTCAAATACCCATGTATTGTTGCTCCAGACTTTAGTAATTTGCTGATGTTCATTCTGTGACCTTTGGTTTTGTTTTCAACTGTGAAAGATTTGACACCTTGTGGAGAATATTGACAGTGTGCAAACTGTGCTGATGAAGAATTTGGCATCACACACACTGTATGTATACTCAAGTGTACAGTCAAAACAAAATATCGCTACTTTGGGTTTTAAGCCTGTTTTAAATTTAGCAAAAATATTCTGTTTCCGATTATTCAGCTTCTAGTCATTCCAGTTTATTATGACCTTGATTCTTCTGTGAAAAGCTAAAGGTATTTTAAAGAATGCTTTAATAATTTTTTTGTCTACATAAACATAAGTTAATTAATTCACTTGAGTGTATGGACAAAAATACTGAAACCTTACTTTATGTCAGTGAAAGAATAACGTTTCCGGTTTGTGGTTGATGAAGAAGTATTCTTGTATGGATTTTCGTATTTTTCAATGGGTTTCGTGTATAGAAAACAGGTCCAGACAGTTAAAGCGTTCTTAATGTATTCAGTGTTTGTGTGTGCGTGTGTGTGTGTTTGAAGGAATTTGTCTTTTCAAGGTCGGTTGACTCTTTTGCCTGTTTTTTTTTTTTTTTTTTACGCATTTTCTGACACCTCATGTGTTGTTTTTTAATGGAATATGCTTTTTCAGTTTCACTACAGGATGCCACTGCTTCAGATTAATTAGACTGAATAAACGGATTTAGTGTCTAGTGAGCGGGAGCTTCTTGTGACTCAGATCTGCATGTTCTTCTCCGATCCATAACACCATTTCCCCCTTCCTGCTCTTGTTGCCAAGTGTCTCACTGAATGCTTCTCATCTCAAACATGCACTCTAAAGCATCTACGTGTGTCGTAAGGTCAAGATGTATTATGACACAGCTATGGAAGGGCAGCCAAGCGGTAGAGGTGTGATAAAATTCCTTGTATCTCAATGACTTCGCAGAGGGAGTGCTAGCATCAATAATGCAATAGATGCATCATGCACACTCAAGCCAACAAGGTATGCACCATTTGTGAGCCTAGCCCATCTTTAATGCTTCTTCTAAAATAATTATTTCTACTAAAGGTGCATGAGTGTTTTATTATATGGGGTCCAATTATATTATGTAAAAACAAAACTACCTTCTACTGCTTTTCTGTTATACAAGCTTAAAATGCCATTAGTATCTGTTTGAAGAATATATTAAAAGTCATGCTTAAAGGCACAGTTCACCCAAAATGACAACTCACTGTTTACTTATCCACAAGTGGTTCTGAATCTTTATGAGTTGGCTTTTTTCTCTTGAACAAGAGAATATATTTTGAAGAAAGCTAAAAAACCTGCTACTATTCTATAGTAGACTTCCATAGTAGAGAACACAAATACTATGGAAGTCAGTGGTGACAGATTTCCAGTGTACTCTTACTTCAGAGTGAGTAATTGATGGAAATATTTTCAGTTTTGGTTGAACTGTGCCCTATCAACCTAAAATCAGAATAATTTCCCCTTCCTTTTTGAAGACCTCTATTTAAATTATTAGATGTGTGGCATGAAAGTGGGAAAATCCGTCATTTAACCTTAACTTGCAGATTTGCATTAAAGGGCACCTATGATGAAAATCAACTCTTGTAAGCTGTTTGGACAGAACTGTGTATAGGTATAGTGTGTCCACAGTCATATTGAAGTGATATAAACACAATAAGTCTTTTTTTTTAATTTCCTGATGTTAAAATATGATCCAAATCCCATTTTGAGGCCCACTGCAATGTGACGTAGGAGTGTGGTTTTCCCCCCACGGAATTAATTGACAGCCACGTATTACATATCTTCGAAGTAACACATATTATTATATCCACATGACAGGAAGTGCATAAAACAAACAGAATTAAAAGATCTGTTCAGCTCTTTGTGATCAGCTGCACCTCAAAAATGAGTTTTACAAGTTTAAAACGTTTAAAACAGTGCATGTTTGCAATAAGTGGACAATAAAATTGCTGTAATTTATCACGACAGCCACATAGTGTCAGTACAATCATAAAAGAAGACGCTTCAATCCTGGTTTGACTTAAATCAGGTTTATTTTGTCTATTAACATAATGGATATCCATACAGCAGTGGATATTAACGTGTATCCTGTCACATTTGCCATGCAAAAACATTCCCAAACAAATATATCAAATAACCGTTGCAGAAAGTTCTTACTGTAATAAGGGAAATCTGCTTTATTCTTGTCTGTCACTGTGCTGCTTATGCATGATATGCAACAAGAGAAGTCTACACCCATCAGAGCAATTGTGAGCAATCTTTAAGCTCTGACACACAGGTGGGAATTGTGGGTGGGGAGAACTAGCTCATTTGCTTTAAAGATACAGGGAACAAAACAGCTACAATGTCTTAACAGCTCAAAATTCCAATATTCTGAAAGAATAATAATAAATAATCTGATGGGTTTTTAGAACTGAAACGTTACAGACACATTCTGGAGACACAAAATACTTTAATTGTACTTACTGAACTGCCAATATTTATTTTTACAATAGGCTAAATTGCAGTGATTTTCATGCTTCTTTGCTTTAACTGAAAGTTTTTAGTTCTCGATCTCTCAAGGAAATGTAACTATTTTATATATTGTCAGAAAAGTATCTAATATGTACATATTCATACTCATTTGTACAAAAATGTAACATTTTTAAAAGAAGGTGTTCCCCCCCAACCACCCCCTAAACCCCACCAGCATTGGGGGTTGAGCAAATCATACCAAAATGTATGAATTGGATCATACAATTTCATATGAATTGAGATGAATGAGATTGCATTGAATTCACTTCATAGGAGGCTGGCTTGGTTCATAACTTATAAAGCTTTAACAAAGACTAGTACCAGTACCTAGACTAGAACCCGTATATACCCAACCATTCAGTCAATTACTAATGGACAAAATCATGTCCCATAAAATCAAGTCAATTTGTTCATTTGTTTGTCATTTAATTGAATCTTTTTACACTTGGGAAGAAACCATGATGGTTTCATGCCAACATTAAAGCACCAAGTAAATCAGAATTCTACTGATGCTGCTGTGCTCCATGACAGCTCTGAATTGTGAATAAAATGATCAAACTCAAATTAAGGCATGTGTTCTTATCAGTAGGCCAAGGGTTTGACAAGGGTTTTGACTAATTGGCTTTGGCAAATACTCTGACTAGTATTTGTTGCTTCAGTAGGCTGAATTGATTGAATGTCAGTTTATCACAAGAACAGATTGCGAACAAGATGAATTTTAATGACATATTCTTGCTCCAAAGCTTTAGTGTGAACAGCTACTCTAATATCACATGAGGGATTTATGCACAAACCAAGAACCAGCATAAATTCTCAAAGTCTCCAGAACAAACTGAGAAGCACAGTGTGAATATTGCATGTGTCTTGCAAGTTGCATTTTCTCCCTGTGGCGTTCGAGGTCTATTGATAATTTCTTTAGCTGCAATGCAAATAAGCCACAAGGTTATGTAAGACATCTTTGCACACTGCATGTGGCCCTTTAGCAGTGGCCTAAAGTAGCTGTGTGTCCTCTGGTGGTGTCGTTACAATGAGCAATGTTCTGCTTCATTCTAGCTTCCAGGCCTCACAGGATAACGCAGGGTAAAAATACTGTGTAGCACTTGCAAGAAGCTTATTTGCTTTGACAGCAAAAATCCCAAGGCACAAGAGCGGACCACTGTTTTGTGTCATGTAGTCTTATTATGATGATCTATGGTGCTTTGAGTGGAAATATATGCAGGTAATGTAGAACGGATCATGAGATATTATTCTTTATGTAATGTTTGTGTCATTTTTATAACATTTACGCGAATGATAGAGATGCTTATTCCTTGCATAATAATAAAAGCTATCAGGTAGGGGCTGAATGATGAAGTGGCCAACGGCTAAGCTCATTATTTTGGGAGCTCATTGCTTAATGAATAGCGGTCAGCTTCTGCACGCTGAATTGTAAAATTAAGTTTTGACTCAGCGGTGGCCTGTTTTTAGAAACAACTCATCTTAATTGTAATCATATTAAGGAATCCTTGTGGACATAAACTGTCTGCAAGCTCTTGATTTTTGATGAAGTGTGATTTTTCCACTATAGTCTGTCCAGCTCCTCAGCAAAATGAGAATATTTCAAAGTGCCTTTACTCAGCTTATTATAAAAGCTGAATAAGGTTCTCATGTGGCGATTTCAAGAAGTTCACCATGTGCTGAATCATTACTCTTCCTTGAACACTTGTTTTATTTCCCATAAGAAAATGTCTCAAGAGCAAAATATGCTGGTGGCGAACAGAGGTGCTCATCACAACTTGATGAAGCCCTCAGAAGCGCTGCCAGACATAGCCTGCTGGGATGACATGTTCATTCAGTTTGTTCTGCTGATTTATTTTTGTCTGAAGTGTCTGAACAAAGATTATCCTGCTTGTGTTAGTTGCATCTTCACCCCGCTGTGTTTATCCAGAAATTCAAGATGTTTTCTGGCTCTCTGTGTTTTTGCAGGGGATGATGACCGGGACACAGATCTCTTCCTTTGTGACACCAATACTTGCAAGTTTGACGGCGAATGCCTCAGAATCGGGGATATAATAACATGTATATGCAACTTCAAGGTAAGACCACATCCTCTATCAACCGGCATTCAGGTTTGTTGTAGGCTCTGAGGTTGTGCGATAGAAATCTTTCATGGCTGTGCCAGAATTACAGTATTGTTACCTTTGCTGAAAATTCAATATAAATGGTTATTATAGAACCATATTGTGAAGCCTATTACGTGATAATTTGTTTATAGCGTCCTTTTCATTGTCTGTATTTATTTCCACGATTGTCATTGCAAGCTATACATGAATGTAAAAAAAAAAAAAGTGCACTACAAATAATGTTATTGTTCCTGTAAATAAACTGACTCTGAACTGCTGAAAAGAATCTCTTAGAGAAAAAATCACCAATAAGACAGTCTAATTGACTTTCTCTTTTTTAATTGATTTCTTTTTGCAGTTTATTTTGCTTTTTTAAATTAATAACCTCAAGAGTTTGAAGAGTATGCTTTGAAAATTAATTTAGAGACAAGACAGCCTTACGCTGTTTTCAGTCCAGCCGAGTTTCAAGAGGACTACTAGAAAGTGTCCCACTTTGTCTGCTTTGGCCTTGAGATCACCGTGAAATGAAGACGGAGAGAGTCGTTCCTAATAACATCTGAGTTTGGTCTAAATGAAAATGCATTAGAGTCCCTTCAAGGCACTGAGCACATAGGCACTCAATGAGTGTGTTATTTTTATCCCAGCTTGCAAAGGAACATTAGTTTCTTCGGTGAGATAAATAGCATTACCTGTTTGTCCCTTTTTCTTTGGTCCAAACAGAACTTCTCAGACTTATGAAGGCATTCTGTTTTTAGGACAAGCCTTATTCTATGTCTGGCCTCTGTGGGTCACATTGTTTTAATTTGTTTCCGAGTGATGCACTAATGCTATTGGCAGCAATTGGACTGGCTTGATTTAAGCATCCTGGACTGCGCGCCACATGTGTGTAAATGATACTCTGGCGTCAGATAGCTTAAACCTAATAATGGGTTATGTCTTTATTCCATTAAGTGAAATAATTCATCAAAGAATGAGCGTCAGGAGGCTTGTGATGGCTCTGAAGCCCAGGGGAAGTCTACAGTCAGGGAGGTAGAGCTGCTGAGGAGAGGAAGAAGGTTTGATACGCAATGAATGGAGGTCATTCAAACGCTGACATTCATTTACTGATGTTTATTCGCCTCACACCATCTCTCAGAGGCACCTGGCACATCACTCATACTGTGATGTTTACTTAAGATTGGATCTGTAATGGTTTTTTAAGTATCCATTATGTCTGGGTGTTTGGTTAAATTTTACCGCTTTTCTGCTGTAAGGTTGCGGGGGTCTGAACATAAAGTCACTTTCAAGCGTGTGATCTGCATGTGCTTCTAGAAGGAGAGAAATACCCCAACCTTTAAGGGAGAAGAAGCACATTTTTACTTGCAGCTCTGGTTTGTTGTGTCATGTTGAATTATAATTGACTAGCTGAGGGTGCCAAAGGGAAGCAGTAAAAATGGCATGCTGGTTTTCATTATTAGGGTGGATTTGCTGTAACTTTGATGATGTTAAATTGCTTCACTTCATTCCTGTTTTATTGACTTTGAAGGATATATATATATATATATATATATATATATATATATATATATATATATATATATATATATATATATATATATATATATATATATATATATATATATATATATATATATATATATACACATATATACTACAGTTCTGTCTGGTTCTTAAATCTGACTGGCTGAGAGCCATGCGATATTCTGCAACAACAGTACTCTTACACCCTTTTAACCTTTCACCCTTGTGTATTACTTCGCCCACGTACAGCAACAACCAGTTTTACAGAACAAACCGTTTTACAAATATTCCTGCTTTTGGACCACATACAGACTTTTTTTGGTGGACAGTGTAGTTGTTTAGATTGCAACTATGCAGTTTAATTAAAAGGATAGTGCCTATTTTAAAATATTTTTATTTTCTGAGAGACATCGCATCAGTCGGCGGCTATTAGCCTGCCATACTAAGCTGACCAAAGATGGTTGACATTGTCTATTCACAAGATGGTGACAGGACCACATAATAAGCCCTTGGAAGATTAAAACAGCCTAATTTCTAACTACAGCTGAGTATCAAATCATTACTATTATGGTAAGCATTCCTGCCAACACTCCAGTTTTTTTCATATTTAAGGCAAATGTCCCGCAACCTTCCTGTTTTGTTATTTCTCCTGGAAAACTCCCATACAGTCTGTAACACCCCTGGGTCGCCAACTTTGGTACAGTATCTGATCACAGCGGCCGCCCAAAATCCGATGCATAATATAGTCACTAACAGTACAGTTACTTTCCTATCCCAGTTCTCAACAGTGTTATTCAGAGACCTCAAGTGTTGGCAGGTGTGCTGGTAAGTGATATTTTAAGTCAATCTCTCTCTTTTGTATGATGTAGTGCTGTATTTATACCAATTTATACCATACATTTGTAGTGTATTGAGTGTGAAATGGGACTCGCATATCAGGAAAATGTGTTGTGTTGGCAGAAAGAAAGAAGAAATGCCAGTATGTGTTTAGTGTTTTTCCTCATCTTATTGTGATATCCTGAATGTAACAGAGAAATACTGTAGACTGTAACACTGTGAAAATATGTACTCTCTGTAGATAGATGACATTTCATGTCAAGTTCAGTCTTATAATTTTCAAATGTCAGCAAAATCAGCTGTTTTGTCATCATTTTAGACTTTTTGTTTGAAAATCAAATGCTAGCTCTAAAGTGACGTTGTAAAATAGTAAGTGTTCTGACATCAGCTGCAGATGTGAATGATTGGCGGAAGAAAGTAGTTCCTAATACAAAATAGTTTTTAGACTCTCTGTGTTTGATTTTCTTTTTTATATACACCATTATGCCGTCAAACCGTTGTATAAACGGCCTCCCACCAGTGCTATTATACAGCCATATCTCACTGTTACGAGTGTGATATTGCTCATATATACAATACTATTTGGTTTCAGTTAAGTATAAAGCTGAGTGTAGAAGCAGAATAGTAAACCAATAGACCTAATAATCATTCAAGAAATATCTCTAATTATTATCATAAAAAAACTCTACCCCATTTTTTTACTTTTGATGAAGGAGAATTTTTAAATAAATATGCATTTTATTTGAAATGTAAATTTTTTGTACCAACATTAACAATTTTTGATCAGTTTAATGCATCTTTACTGAATAAAAGTATTTTTGCTGGCTGAAAGGTCTTACTGACCATAAGGTTTAAAGTATGGATTTGATCTGTTGCAAATAAAACATTGTAAACAGAGTAAAGTGCAGTTATATATTTGGCTGTTTACAGCAGCTCTGATTTGTGATTTGTTTATTTTATAGTTTCTGTTTTTATTATGCTACATACATTTTTGAATGTGTATGAAGTTCGAAAAAAGAAGTGTGAAATGTAAAATTTAATGTAGCTGCGAAAATTAATCAAATGCATCGAAGCATCCCTGCGGCTGGCAGAAAGCAAAATTGAGAGCAATGCAGAAATGAAAGTCATTTCATGTACGTAAGTACTTGTAATACTTGCAAAAACTTTCTTTAGCACATTATTGCATTGTGAAAGGTTGGTTAACCCCAAAATCAATTTAGCCTTTTTTATGTGATTTTACCTGCTGGAGAGTATGCAGTATAGCTCACAGTTTATATAATGCAATTTGCTGAATGTCTTTGGACCATTGAATAAGTTAACTTTGAAACCCGGAGGCACAGCATGAATCCCATAAATAGTTTTGCAAAAGTTTGATGTGGCGAAAGAATGTTGCTCCATCAGAGCTTCCAATGGATATGGTTATTATAGAGTTCGGGAACAGGGTGAATCTTCTGCCTTTGCTCTCTGGCTCTCAGGGTGTTTTTTATTTTATTTAGTTTTGTCTGTGCAAAAAAATGTGTAGCATTAAAGTTTGCTGCCAGAATGGGGTTATTACATTTTCTCCCAGCAGGAGTCATGCTGACCAGCCAAACTTTTAGCTCTTAAACTGGATTAGAGTGACCTGGATATATTATTGACCGAATATTTTCAATATTTTCCGAATATCTTCATTGCAGTTGAAACAAGAAATAACTTTATATATTAATGATACAATTGTAGTGTGATCTAAAAATGAAAGTTGCTTGTTCCAACAATGTAATAAATTACACAATTGATAGTTGTTTTTATGTTAATTAGAAAATAAAGCAACTTTGTATGTTCAGTGTAATTTTTTAAAGTCACACAAGCTGATTTCAGCCAGACTAACCCTATGATGTAAACGATTACACTGGTGTGATCAGTCTGGGTTAGTCTCTGGAGTGTCATATGTCTCTGATTATCATTTTATAATCATGCAGGTGTCTCAGCTGAAGAATTTAAATGGAATCCTTGAAATCAGAAGATGTATTTGTTAATATAATGTAAATGATGTTTCTTAATGAAATTTGTAGAGGGCAAAAACCATGACAGATATACTTTGTTTTAAAATCCACATCATATTGGACTATTCTGGCCACCATTAATGTTGATGACTTCAAAAGGTTGCACCTCTACTGGTGTTCTACCTGTTAGCATCATAAGCACATCACAACGTGGAATACATTGTGCAGCCTTTGTTTGTAATTTTCTCACAAACAACATAAAAAGAGATCCAATGCACATCTTCACTGTTTTCCTAGTTGTTAGAAGAAAAAAAAGGAGGAGAAGATCCTTAATGATGCTTTAAGTAAATCACACTATCATCTGTGCACAGTATCATCACTATCACACTATCATGATCTGTTTCACATATCGTGTGAAATGTGTACTGAGAAACGAAAGGATGTGAACTTCACTGATGGAGAAACTTCAAGCTTATTCATATTCATGGATAGACCTGGCAATTGGTCAATTTAACTGTGGCCAGTAAGTGTCCATTTTTCTCCAGTTATTATTGATGAAGCAGAGAAGATGGATGTTGACAAGCATCGGCACACTGTAAACGATTTCTGTTGTTTTCACGGTATTATACTGCATTTCTCAACAGTTGTTTACTGTATAAGCTGTGCACAGTGTGTTACTGTATATATTGCTGTTTTCACAGCATGATAATGTATTCTCAACATTTCCATACTGTGAACATGATTAACAGTATGCTACTGCAGATTTTACAATGAATTTTGGGAAAAAATCAGTTACTGTGCATCTAAATACAGTACTGCAAATGACCATGAAAAACTCTACACACACTTTATATTATTATTATTATGTTTATTTTATTTTTTGACAAAGTATTTTGTGAAGAAAAATAAACTAACCAGTTTCTTCAGACTGTTCAGTGCATAAAACTGTCCCCTGGTTTTCCATTTTTGGCTGCACCTTAATTTTATAAGGTTAACATGAAAATATTAAATCATTTTTAATCAACATAACTTTGTGCTTAACCAAAACGTAAACTGGAACAAAAGTAATTCATTCATGAAACCAAAGTCAGCTTAAATGTCATAATGACCAGCCTGCTTTAGACGGATTCATGAGGTTAGGGCACCCGTCATCACCATGGAGGTCACAGATCTCCGCATTTTCAAAACAATATTTTAAAATACGCACCATCTCTATAAATAAACCACAGACTTGAGTTTAAAACAACTACATTCCCGCATGATAAACGGTTAAAACTAAATTTCATAACACATTCATTATAGAGCCATCTAAGACCGGGGCAAGTCTCACATGTCTAGCCGATTATAACCTCGTTTCGCCGGACACATGAGTGATGATGGACACCCTGGAGGTCAGAATCTCCGCTATCGGCAAAGCACGCTTAAAATTTACAAATGATATAAATAAACTACAGATTTGAGTTTGTAAGAACTACATTCTCGCATGAAACACTGTTAAAATTTCATTTCGTGACATATTAAACGCAATATTTATAATTTTAGCTGGGCTTTCTCATCCGCCATTACCATTTGCTTGTTGATGTGAAATGAATTCTGGGAGAAAAACAAGAAAAATATTAATTCTCAAAACACTTCAAACGAACTTTATTTCTTATTGTCAAGGTCAGATATATGTAATAATCTCGCTGGTAAAGTGAATAAAAAACAATGTTACTATATTGTAATCAATATCACGTTTGCACTGGTTCGGTTCAGCACTCGAGCGACTCGTATTGAACCGAATTGAACCGTTTGCTCGGGAATTATTTGATCACACGTGTTCACAAGCACATTTAGCAATATGCAATTAGTGTATAATTAGTGTATAAATGCGTGTGGCCAAGCAGTATAACGAAATAGTAATGAATCATATACAAAAAGGAATCAATTTTTATGCGGATTCGATTCTTTACTGTTCACTAAGGAGCCGATTCATAGAACCGAACGGACACGACTCGACATGCAGGCAACGGCTCTCCTAATTTGAAATTCACCTGTCGTCTTTCATCCAGCGAATTCATCCTCGGTAAGTGTTTTAAAGTCAAATTCTGTCCGTTAAAGGATTGTTTTGTATGTATTTCTGTGTATTGTGTGTGTAATTTAAAAGAATTAACCAAATGACATTAGTTGTAGGTTCTTATGTTATGTCACGCTATCCGTTAACAAATGGTATTTTAAACAAGAAATAACAGACGCCAGGCGGTCATTGTAGTGTTTGCGAGGTATTAGATACAGTGAGTTTATCTTGAGTGAGTTTTTGACCATACGTTAAGTTACCTGAAAAACATAACTTTAACTTATTGTAACTGCATTAATGCATTCTCTATTTCAGCACAACACTGAGATGAAGGCGAAGTCACCATGAAAAGTTAAACCTTTACCGTTAAGGTAAGCTCTGGTCTTCACATAATCATTTTGACTAAGCTATCATTATGGTAACATTTTTCAACTGTAAGTTAGTTATTTAAGTTAAACTAAACTCATAATGAAATGAGTCTTAACTGTTTTATTAAATGGAGCTGAAAATTAAATGCAGTTGAATTATTTTAAGCTAAGGTTAATATTAACAAAATACATATTTATTGTCTATTTATCAATAATGTTAATGAGCTTGATTTATATTGTGTCATTTATTGTACATTTAATTTTTGCTGTTCAGGTGTACCTGAGGTGAGTGTACGTTCTGAGTACACAGATATAAGCCAAAGTCATTATCACTATATATATATATATATATATATATATATATATATATATATATATATATATATATATATATATATATATATATATATATATATCCTATTCTAAGAGAAATTGATAGGGTCAGTGAATGATTTGTGTACAAATGTATTTTAACCCCATACAGATTGGTATCGTTGTACCATAGATTTAGATTAATTAATGTTAAGTCTTATTTTACTCTTATTATATTTATCTGTTTTTCAGCTACAGTAATTGATGTTGAAAAACTGATGCTACCAATCACTCCTCACTTGATTATTCAAGGTAATGTTGATGTCTTCCTCATTTTTATTAGATTTTGAAATGTCAAGTTGTTCACAGATTTGTTGTGAGGAGTTTCATGTAAAACCTCTTTTTCTTCTTCCAGCAGTTCCTAAGATAAAAACAAATCTGGTGTTAAAACACCAGTCTTTGTTTATTAGCAATTTTACTGGGCGTATGGAACTGGAAACTGTAAGTTTAGTTCAATATGTTATTTTATGCTATTCATTTTTGTCTTAACATGGATTGCATGTTGAAGCTATCGTTTTATAGTGGGAAAATGTAAAAGAGAATCACTGAATACAATGGCATAATGATTCTGCTTGTTCAAAGAAGGTACTTGATTTAGTTTTCCTCAAGCGACACATCAGTTTTTATGACTATTGCTTGACACTTGAATTGAAGGGACAGTTCACCCAAAAATGAAAATAATAGCATCTTTGGCATCCTCCACTTGTTTCAAAATAGTTATATATTTATTTTGTTCCGTTGAACACAAACTCGTATTTTTTAAAGAAATTTGGTTCAAATATGGATGTCAATAGTTACTGGTTACTAACATTCTTCAAAATATCTGCTTTAGTGTTTAACAGAAATTCAAACTAGTTTAAAACACGTGGAGTAAATAGTGGCAAAATAGTAAACTATTCCTTTAAATATTTTATTCTGAGACTTTTATTTATATGTGTCTTGTCTTTTGTCATATTGTCCTTCTAGCCCAAATTGTGATGGACCTGGAATGCGACACCAGTTACTCTTAAGACAAGAACCGAATAAAGCACAGATGTGGAGGGATTTGCAGCCAAACTAACTGGAGGGAAGGAACCTTTAGGTAAAATCACCTACTTTATTTAGATCTGAAGTATTTTATTTGACATAGAGATTTATTGTTTTAATTCTAATTTAAAGCAAACAAGGTTGAGCACCCCTGGTCTAAAAGCTCAAAAATGCTGTTTCCGTGATAAGGTTAAATGTAGTTCAGAAATAGATTCATTAGGATCAATGCTTAAAGTAAACATTTTCTTCTCTCTGTAGACCAAACATGTTTACTATCCCTCACATTTTAATAAATTGTTTCTGTTTTTGTTTCTTACAGTGTGGGTGAACATACTACCTGGATGTCCAACAAAGGCTGCACAAGAGCTCATTTGATAGCACACATTCTGTCCTGTCTACATCTCTGATGACCTGGAAGTGCTTCGACATCAGTGAGTAATACATCTTTATATTGTCATGCATACAGGATTTCTGTAAGCTTAGATTTAATGTTAGTTTGTAATCAGCAGTGACTGTTTTAAAAAATTAAGTATTTAAATTATTCTCAACATTTTACTGATGCTGTGCACAGTAACGTTATGATGATTTAGTTTGAGGAAATGTCACTGGAGAAGTGTTCGTATAAAAAATAAATCAATAAATAAATTGTATAAAATGACTCGATAAAATGTTTATTTGTCTAGCTTACATGCCATCACTGCTGCATATTGAAATACCGTAATACGAATTGACAGCAGAATTTTACCACAAATATTTCATGAAGTAGGCTAGACTGCTCTTTAGTTCTCTACTCAACTTTAACACATTTCCTCGTGTCGCTGAGCCTCTCTGCAGATTTTGCCAAAAATGAATGCTTAGTGATTACTTTGTTTTATGCAAACCAAATATCAGTAACTTATCATTAGCATTATTTAAAAAAAAATCACGCACAGCTTTCATGTTCTCTAACGCAATCTTGTCTGTAAGTTAGAAGTGGATTTATACGTGTTAAAAGCCTAAAAGTATTAACATTAGTCACGTTAAATTACATTATTTTATTTATTTTATTTTAAATATGTAGCCTCTTAAAGTGAGAATGAACTGTGTTCACCCCTCTTAAATCCGTGGAAGCACTAGTTGTGTGATCATAGAATCAGATATTCGAGCTATACAGAGTCAGACATTAAGTTAAGATGAGACTTTATTTTTTACACACCTATGTGGACACCTGACTAGCGATCTTCAAGAACAATGCCCGCTGATCTTTTCCCCATTAACGTTAGTGTAATTGTGAATTGACAACAAACTGTATTTCACCAACAAAAACAATTAAAAAACTGTTTTATATATATAATATATATTATATTATATAGTGTTTCGTTTCTGAATGAATTAAATGGTTTGAGGGATGATTAGTTTTTACTCCAGTGATTGATTTTGCTTGTCATTTTTGCAGGATCATCATCATGCTGCTGCCCTTTTTCACTGTCCCTTTCCACATCAATTGGCCTTCATCATTTCCTGTCTTGTAGCAGTATTTTCACCTGTTTTTAAAATTGTAATAATTTTTGATGCATTAATTGTTGACTGGTTTTAATGATCAATTGTTTATTAGTGTTCTGTTGCTCTGTTATATTGAATTACTGCTACTGTTTTAGCATGGTTTACACAATAAACCTTTATTGTGAAGTTAAAGTTTCAGTTTCTTTATTTTTCTTGTACGTCTTGAACAGTTAAAATAACACTTGTGCAATTTTTGAAATTTTTTTACCCATTATAAAGTAGCACTATTAAATATAATAAAATAACATTTAATAACTGTAAAATACTATACAGTAATAATGAAAGTAACGTTAAAATACCGTAGTTCTTCATGGTAAAAATGTACAATAAAATACTGTTTTCAGTTTTGCAGTATGTGTATCACTACTGTAATTAGTGTTACAGTAAAAATCAACAACAGTAAAATGATGTATTACATTTTACAGTAAATGTAATACTAATGTAATTAGTATTACAGTAATGTTACTGTTTTATGAAATACAGCAGCTACTGGATAATTGTTGCCAGTAACTTACTGTTAATTTAACAAGAAATCGTTTACAGTGCATGTTTCTTGTCTAGTGTTTTGTTCTCATTGTGGATTGCACTTGATATATGAAAGCATTTAATTTCATAACGTTACTCCTTTTGAAAAAAAAAAAACTAATAAAAACCAACATTTTTTGATTGAAAATTAATATCAAAAGTGATACATTGTGACATCGTATCAGTATATTACTTTCCAATTTGTATTAAAACAGCTGCAAACAGTGCCATTTGCTCACCGTGCATTCATTTTATGTCATAAAATATAATAATGTGGGTTTAAAATAAATGAGGGTTTTTTAAACAACAAAAATCTTCTATTGTTCGTCTACCTAATATTTCATTCAGATACAATGTTTATGTTATATGTATATTTATGTTATTATCTATAGCCATAACCATATCATCCTGCAGCCCAAAACCTGTTACTCACTGAAACTAAGCAGGGCTGAGCCTGGTCAGTACCTGGATGGGAGACCACATAGGTCATTAAAAATTAAACCACTGTGCTCATTAAAAATCCCATGGCATTTCTCGTAAAGAATAGGGGTGTAACCCCAGTATCCTGGCCAAATTCCCTCCATCTGCCCTTACCAATCATGGTCTTCCAATCATCCCCATCCACAGAAATGGCTCTATCACTGTCTCCCCACTCCATCTTTAGCTGATGTATGGTGAGGGCACTAGCGCCGTTGTCCTGTGGCTGCCGTCACATCATCCAAGTGGATGCTGCACACTGGTGGTGGTGTGCAGAGACCCCCCTTCATGATTGTTAAGTGCTTTGGGTGTATAGCCGTACATGATAAATACACATTACATTACATTAAGCCATACAAATGTTGATACCAGAGCTACTCTTTAAAACTTCATGTAAAAATATTCATTTGATTCAGCTTCATATAAGGCAACAGTTAAGTTTTACGATGAAGTCAGATTTTGCTCCTTTTCTTGCAGAGCTTTGATTGTCATTATCAAGACATGTAGCATCATAACTGATGGCGATGTGATTCTGCGCGTTCAGTCACGCTCATGCTGATGATTCACTGTTATGACACCTCAGATCCAGAGCTCCAATGCTCAGTCATTCATGTGAACTTTCATTGCTTACTCGCGTGATTCATTCTAATGGGGGGTTATTGCTTAGCCACAGCCTCTCTGGGCCTTTTGTTTTTTGGCTTGTTTGCAAGCTAGTTTATAGCATTGTCCCTTGCCTGCTGATGATGTGGATTCCTGATTTTAACTTGACTGATCGATTATTACAACCATCTTCTCTCTGCTTGGCTCGTCTCTCACAGACTCCAGTGGATACACTATCCCTCCGGCCTTCCTCGGATGACTGAGGTGTTGCCATTTTCAGATGGCTGTGATGTAACAAACCACATCTAGTTTGAGATCTAGCCGAGTTTCAGCATTCGAGTGGAAAAACAGCATCTCCTTCAGTTCTCCTTTAGCGTGAACTCTAGGAATGAACTCGCAGGGCTTGCAGACAGTGGCAGAAGGTGGACGCCTTCCCTCCGGGCCCTCGGCTGCCCATCATAAGAGCCATTTTCAGCCAGACCTCTTTGCATATATTACCATGCATTTGTGATCCTTTTATCCTCTAGTCACATGGTTTCGCCATGGCTGGAGACAGATTAAAAGTGGGGCTTTATTCCCTGGTGCCATTAGACAGTCCTGTAAGACTAAGACCATGAATCATGTTGTACAGGTGCAATATCAATATATGCTTGAAGTGCCTGGAACTACCATTTCAACTGTATCCTTGTGTTTAAATAGGCCATGAGTCACTTTGTGTTGCAATTATTCGACTGGAGGAAGTTTTTTTTTTTTTAGTTTGAGTACTAAAGGCCCAATAGTGACATTTTCCACACTTTGCAAGCACACTTTACTTGACAATAAATATGTTAGTAATAAAGGTATGATGACTATGTCGAAAAGTAATAATACACTTGGGAATTAGAAATGAGCTATTAGAAATGAGTTATTAAAACTACTGTGTTTAGAAATGTGTTGAATTTGTTGAGTCTTTTGAATGAGCTGATTTATTTTCTCTTTGCCATGATGACAGTAAATTATACTTTACTAGATATTTTAAGACACTTCTATACAGTTTAAAGTGAAATTTAAAGGCTTAATAATAATTATAATAATAATAATAATAATAATAATATAATAATAATACATTTTATTTATATTGCGCTTTTCTCAAACTCAAAGCGCTAACAAGAGCATTAACACACAGAAGAACATGAAATACACAAAAAAAGTAAGAATGATAATAATGATAAAAATATACATATTAAAAGAAGGCCTCATAAGTTATAGGCAATAATAAAAAGACGAGTTTTAAGAAGTTTCTTAAAACAGTCCAGGGAACTGGTGTTTCTGATATTTGTGGTGAAAGCATTCCACAATTGAGGGGCACGATAAGAGAATGCCCTGCCTCCCATGCTGCGAAGTTTGTAACGGGGCTGATACAAGGTGAGCCCTGAACCAGAGCGTAGATTGCAAGAGGAAGAGGAGGTAAATAATTAACTACACTGTAAACGATTTCTTGTTAAATCAACAGTAAGTTACTGGCAACAATTATCCAGTAGCTGCTGTATTTCATAAAACGGTAACATTACTGTAATACTAATTACATTAGTATTACATTTACTGTAAAATGTAATACATCATTTTACTGTTGTTGATTTTTACTGTAACACCAATTACAGTAGTGATACACATACTGCAAAACTGAAAACAGTATTTTATTGTACATTTTTACCATGAAGAACTACGGTATTTTAACGTTACTTTTATTATTACTGTATAGTATTTTACAGTTATTAAATGTTATTTTATTTTATTTAATAGTGCTACTTTATAATGGGTAAAAATGTTCAAAAATTGCACAAGTGTTATTTTA